AGATTGTCATTCTAAGTGAAATAAGCCAGAAAGGGAAAGAAAAATACCATATGATATCACTCATATGCAGAACCTAAAAACAAAAACAAAAACAAAAAGGACACAAAGGAACTTATTTACAAAGCAGAAACACACTCACAGACATAGAAAACAAACTATGATTACCAGGTGGGGGAGGGAGGTGGGAAGGGATAAATTGGGAGTTAGACTTGCAGATACTAACTACTATACATAAAATAGATAAACAAGTTTCTTCTGTGTAGCACAGGGAACTATATTCAATATCTTATAGTAACCTATAATGAAAAAGAATATGAAAAGGAATATATGTATGTTATGTATGACTGAAACATTATTCTGTACACCAAAAATTGATACAACATTGTAAATTGACTATACTTCAATAAAATAATAATAATAATAATAATCCCAGTAGGGCTAGACCTTTTCAGGAGACACTTTTAAGTTTTTATTCAGCATGATTTTCCTAATTTTCTAATGATTTTTCATTACCGAAATCAAATAAAAACCAGAAGACAAAGAATATATATATGATTTGCAAAAAAAAAAAAAAGAACCGCTAGGTAGGCTGACTAAAAAGAGAGAGGACACAAATTACTAGTATCAGAAATGAAAGCAGAAACATCACTAGAGACCTCATGTACATTAAAAGAATAATAAAAGAATACTATGAACAATTCTATGCCCAGAAATCTGATAATCTAGATGAAAAAGAGCAATCCTTTGAAAGGCACAATCTGCCAACACTCACATAAGAAATAGATCATCTGAATATGCCAAAATCTATTAAAGAAATAGAATCCATAATTAATCTTTCACAACAAAAAGCATCAGGCCCAGATGGATTCACTAATGAATTCTACCAAACATTTAAGGAAGAAATTCTACAAATTTTCTACAATCTCTTTCAGGACAGAAGCAGAGGGAATACTTCCTAACTCATTCTATGTGACAACCATTAAAACCTAACACCAAAACTAGACAAAAACATTATAAGAAAATTACAGACGAATGTCTCTCATAAACACAAATGCAAAAATCTCCAACAAAATAGCA